GCCCCACAAGAGTGTCCCACAAGAGTTTTCCACAAGAGTGTGTTACAAGAGTGTCCCACAAAAGTGCCGCACTAGAGTGTCCCACAAGAGTGTCCTACAAGAGTGTCCCACAAGAGCACCACACACGAAAATGTTTTCCAAGAGTGTCCCACAGGAGTGTCAAACAGAGTTTGGCCGTTTTTTTCCGAGCGCGTGTTTGCATTCGGGTTCGTGGGTTCCATTTTTTCCTTTATGAGATGCAGCTGGTAGTTCCCTGTTGTCTAAAGATTTCGCATCAGATGCAACATGATTTGTTGCACTGGGACAGTTCATTTTTTGTGTCCCGTGGAGGTGCTTGCATCCAGCGGCATCTATAGCCGGAAGCAGCAACGAAGGGAAGAGGACCGTGTACTGTTGGCTGAAAAACAAAGTAATTAGGTCCCTTACAAACACAGAAATAGGACGCCTCCTTCCTGCTTCAATGAACGGCCGCATGCAATTCTTTTGGATTTAGCGTCCCTCAAGATGCTAAGGTGGTCGCAGGTTATGTATATAACCTCGTTTGCACTTGGAGTGGGCTATCGCATGAACGAAACAACAACCAGAAGTCGTTTGAGTAGTTGTCGTTTTGAACAGCACGTCAAGTCCATTTTACATAGACTTTAAGACTTTGGCTATTTATTTGCATGTATTTGCAAAATATTTGGATATGGGCAGAATTTGTGGTCACGTGAGCACCAAAGGCTCGTGCTCAACGAAAAAACCGCCAGGAGTATGGACCGATGGCCTATGGGGAGGCCGTGGGCGATTGGAAAATAGGACTTAGCCACAGGGGCATGCATTTTGTACCCATCTGATTGTTTGACGTCCAAGTTCTTATTGATTGACCACAGATGTTCAGTTGTTCTTGTGGACATCCAGTGATTCACCCCAAGATTCACCCAAAATAAAGGCGGCTCGACCAATGACTTGCAAACTGGCTGGCCGCTTTGTGCTTTTGCCATTGACTTGGGTTTCGCCGCCCCATAAAAATGATTGTGGAAGGCAGTTTTGTGTGAGTTGTGCGCCGCTTTTGGGAAAAGGATCGCCCTCGAGGCCCTCTTCACCAAAGATTGGGTCAAAACCTAACCATGTAATACAGGAAGTAATATAGTCCGTTCTTCCTCTCGCCCCAAGAAGAGTCTTGACTGGCTTTTAAAGCTTTTTGCTCTACAACCTCAAAAGGTGAGACAACCCTTCACATCCATGCTCTCCATGTTGGAAGCTTTCCCCACGGTTGCAGGGAGGGAACCCCCCTGCCTCTGTCCAGACATCCCCGGTGCGTGCGATCAGTATTCCGTGGGGAGCCCCAGAAACCTGACCCCGCCAGCGGTCAAAAGGCACTGGAAAGGAACACCGATGGGTGAAGGGCGGAGACAGATGAGCAGAATGGGTTATCCGCTTTTTGCCTTTGTTTTGATGCTTTTTGCGCATTCGGAGACCATGAAGAGAATTCCAAAGAGGGGCTCCTTTGTGCAACTCGGCCTATCACATACTGCCATGCTGCCAGTCTCTTTAGACATCCTGCTATAAAAAAAACTAGCTGGTGGGGCTCTGGCTTTGGGATATTCTCATAATTATCTAGGCGGCATGAACAGGCACTTTGTCCAGCATGGCATGAAAGCGGTGTTCGAACCGAGGATGGAAGCAGATTCCATCAACAACTTCAGGACAGGGAGTGAAGTAGCCGCTGGTTTTTTGGGTGTTTGTGCCATATTTCCAAGAGTTCCTTGGATGGTGAGGCGAAGGAAAGTCTCCCGCAATGAGGCAAAACATATGTTCGGAGAGGTGCAACGTGGGCAACTCTCTCGTTTTGAGGGCCTATGCCTGCAAAGGCGCGAGTTGTGCAAGTCTTCGGAAATCATGAGATTTTACCAGGCGTTTGGGCAGTTAAGTACCTGCATGAATTGCTGGCTTCAGCCTGCAAGGGGATCCCACTGGGCCACGCACTTTTCGCCCCGCAGGAAGGCCTTCAAGTGCTTCAGGCCACGCGCGCCGCACGCTCGCAGACCTGTGCATCCACGGTCGAAGAACTTGTGGGGAGCACTTCCCAACCCCACTTGGTTGTTCTTCAAGACTGAGGGAGAAAAAGGGGAGAGGAAAGATGAGGAAAGCAGGGACTCCTGGACCTGGTCGTTTGGTCGTTTTGATTCCTTCCTCGGTTCGGTGAGACCCGTTGCAGGGAGCAGCAGCACGACCTCCTCTCCTTCCATTCGAGCTTCAAGAATTTGGGCGACGAAGAAGCCAAAGCCGACAGCGAGCAGACGACGTGAGAGGGGGGGAACCGACCCCTCACAAGTCTGGTGCGCGAGGAAGATGTTGGTGAAGGTCTTAGGAAGGTCTTAAGAGGTCTTAACAGTCTTGTCTACCAGACCGTCGATTTAAGTCATTTCTTGCTAGATCCAAAGAGACCGGTGGGACCTTCAGAGGTAAGGACACTAGGATGACGAGTCTTTGTTGTTGGAGGGGATTGCCCGAGTAGCACACTTTCACTACCTCCCGTAGCTGGATTAATGTCTCAAGAAATGTATTACACGCTAGCTCCAGTTTCCAGTATCCCAACCAAGATTTTGAGCAGATGTCAGTCAGGATTCCAAAACATGCGGGGTGAAGTTCAAAGCGGAGGAGTAATGGCTAAGCAAGACGCCATTGTGTGTTTCTACATGTTTGTGTTTTTTTTGGTGCTTTGTTTACAAGGTAAGTGGCTTTTATCTGAGACAAAAGCAATCAAACGATGAGGAGGTGTCTAACAGGGGTCCCAAACAGAGAACAACTTTAGGAACAACATCAACTGTAGATCGAATCATTTACTCTAACATCCTGGAAAACAATGTTTGTTCTTTTGACGTGACGAAACGGATACATTGTTGGCAGAACACACCTAGAAAAACAGTGCCATGGCTTGCCATGGCATAGTCCTGCTTGGGGCCGTTGACTTCTGGTCGCGCCCGATCTTCCCGTTTTAGCCGCGGCTTTTTGCTCCCCAGCCGAGTGTGCTCGGTTCGGGTGGTCATGGACGGCATGGCTGCCGCGCTGCCTGGAGCGGAGATTGTGAAGCAAAGCGTCATGAAGACGTTCATTCAAACATCAAGGGACAGGATTGCCAACATTTCCCCAGGTATTGTTTATTGGGGTGCCAGGGGACGAGCATAGTTTAGCTCCTTGCAAAGCCACCTCTTGGTGTGCGCAACCTTCAACCGAAGAAGTAGCACTGCAATGTCCGTCATTTCATACAAAGTTTGGGACTTTGTGCTTCCGCCAAGTCTGCAGCCTCTTTTCTTGACAGATATGCCGCATGCCGATATGCCCAGCTGAGCAGTGTGAAGAAGATCGCCCCAAGCTGCACCATGACATTGCCGCTTGCGACTCTGCCGGCACCGCTGCAAAGCAGCGGCCACCATGGGGAGTCAACAATTGGATGGCGAAGGTTCAATCGCCTCTAACACTGAAGGGGAAGTGATCAATGGACAATCCAAAAGCACCGAACACCCGGTGAAGGCACGTTTCTCATACATTCACAGTCCTAATCAAAGTCCGCCTGAAAGCTATGCAAGATAGCACCATCACAAAAAGAGACCGGCACGAAGGCCCAGCGTTTGTTCAAGGTCCTGGTTGGGAGACAGTTGCATTTTTCACAGGTGCTTTATCAAAGCTGGAAAGGACTATACAATTGTTTCAGATAGCTAAAGTCTATATCTGACGTAGAAAGAAACAGTTGTAGGCTTCACAGGGGCTCTTCCTATTTTCTGTTTGGGCCATGTGCGAATCTTCACATGTTATAGATGTAGCCAGCAGGCATTGATAGCTTCACGTCTGTCCGCTCTGTCCGCCCCGTCCCTTTCCCCTTGAGCTTTCTTTGTCATTTCCCCCGCCCAATGAACATCGCGTATAGAAGGAGCGGTCCCCGAAGGAGTCGTTCCGCGCTTACGGGAGAGCAAAGCCGAACAAAAAAGAGGTCTGGAGCTGGAGAAGGGTACGCTTTGGCAAACCAACATGCCAATTTGGATGGATCTTTAGGAAGAATATACCAGTATAACATAGTATAACAGCTTTTCCAGGGTATGTGTCTCAGCGACGGTTTTCAAGAAGTGAAACATCTCTTTTGGCTTTTTAGTGGCAAATAGGATCCTCCAAGTCCTTGAGACTCTCAGATTTCCATGGTTTTGCGACCCTGACTATCTCTACACCTTCCAGAACTCTGTGACTCATGTGACTCTTACATTTTGTAGACCGCTGAAGAATGATGAACCAGTCCCATAATCCACAGATTCTCAGCTCGTCAATCCAGAAACTGGTGCCGGGCCGATCACCCCAGATGACACGGTTTGTGGCTTAGAACACCGAGCTCACCGAGCTTTCAGGATCAAACACAGCTTGTCTAAGCGGACCGCCGCACAGCTGTGCGGCCTGGCCTGAACTGTTAGAATGAGCTTCCACTTGCACGTGGAAGGAAGGGAATCAGACAACAAGAGCAAACAAAAAAAGACATCGACACAGTTCGAGCATGAACGAGCCACTGAAAACGGTGGGTCAGAAAAGCAGAGCTGACCAAGGGGGTTTATGGAACGTTGAGCCCGATGATAGTCACGAAACTTCACGTAGAGGAATACTTCAAGCTGTTGGCCACTGCAAATTGTGTTGGCGAGCGACCTTCCTTCAGGAGTTGACCAATGGCCATTGTGCATTGATGTGCATCGGCCAACGGCCCCTCCTTCTTTCCCCTTCGAGCTTGAGGTTCGGCAAGGGATGCACAGCAAACGCGAAACAACTTCAATGATTTTCAATGCCTCAATTATCCTGATACACCCTAAGCATCCCCAAGCATCCCCAAGCCCTCAGCTCGTCATACAGTTAAAACATTGTTAAAACCAAACGGACATGAGGGACCTCAAGACTCGCTCCGTTTGCTGGTGTTTCCATTCTCTTGCTACTGTACGGCTGACTCGAGAAAATACCCTCTATTTCACTCACCTGGACACCTACTCACTCTGGGATTGAGAGTCGCTGCCGTTTAGGGGGCGGTCGCCATGGCCAAGTGGTTCTGGGCGGGTGCTCTTTCCATCGTCGTTGTGGCTTCTCTCGTGGCCCCAACACGCTGGCGCACTCCCTTGGCCGCGCTGGCTGCAGCCTGTGCGCTTGCCCTGGCATGGCGGCCACGCACGAAGGCAGCCGTCCAGCAGGAACGCTATCCCAAACAGTATGTGGCCAGGCGGGGCATAGACAAGTTCAGGATGTGGTCCATTCTCATTTTTGCTCAGCTGCGGCTGCGTAGTGCAGGAATGGCTTGAGCGACTTCTTTTTGCACTCTTTGTGTTGCTTGGACCCAACACAGCAGTAGCATTTGCTGCATGGCGGTTAGACATGTGGGAATGGCAGCATCTGAGATGACATGAACCCATGAGAGTAGAGTAGTAGGGTTGGTGCGGGGAGTGCGCCATTTACGCACATTGCATGAAGGGGTGATTTCAATCGGGGAGGACATACAGTAGTTGTCAAGTGTATCACGAGGACTGGGCAAGCACGTTTTACACCCTTGGCTTCATGACCTTCCCAAGCCTTGCCCTAAAATCAAGCCTTTCGGTGCATCTAGGAGTTAATGGTTCAAATCGTACCAGACCCTCAATTTAAAGGCCTGGCCATTCACAAATGTGCGATCCAGGAGAGGCACAGTCGCGCCCATCGATGGTGACTTGGAGAAGGCTAGGCACAGGGGCAAGTCAAGTTGTTATTGTTACTATTAATACTATTATTACTGTAATATTTTTTTACAGGCATTCAAGCAATTTGGCGGATTGGGGTGTCCATAGGATGCCAGTGTTGGTGGCTGTTCAAGAGTGTAATTTTGATTCGGGTGAGCGTTGGAGTGCAGAGTCAGTTGGCCAGTATCCACATGAAAAAGTGAGACTTCAGATATCCTCATATATATATATAATATTGTGGATAGCATGACGAAGCGGCCATTTTGCCGCGAGCACAGACAGGGTCCTCCGCCCAGCTTGAGGCGGTAAGCGAAACGGTACACTTCTCGATTGTGACGTGTTTTGGTCAAGCGGAGCTGATGCCTGATTCACATCGCTCCTATGTTTTGTTGGCCAAAAACGTCATTCGCTTGAGCTCTTTGGCTCCATATTCAAAAAGGGTCCAACACGCGTTTCTCATGATGTTTCTCAAGAAGTAAGAGGGGCCCTTCTTAGTGAGAGAGTCCGGAGTCATGATTTCGCCTGGAACCCACCGGACCTGTCCTTTGGTGACCATCATGTCGTTCTTCAGAATCGTCAGGTCGATGGCGGTTCTTTTGTCCTCGATGTGAGCCGCCACATTCTTCGACTTGCTCAGGTTGTCAAACAGAGATCTTGAATCTGTAGCGACCACAAAAGGAGTTTTGCTAATTTGCTCTTGCCAGTTCAGGAGGTTCATTCGAAGTCCTTTGATCTCGGACCAAAGGAATCGCATCCAATAAGAAGCTCCAACTCCTTGAGCCATGGCCTGAGCTTCAGCTGCTAGGGTATTGACCGTACATCTCTTCAACTTATAGTTCTTCCAACTCAAGATCGAAATGGGCTGAGGGGATTGCTCAATCTCTAGGGCCTTGTTATAGGCATAGATGATATGTCCACCTTGGCTCTGAGTACGGCCAACCTGGAGGAACTTTTCGTGGATCTCGATCTTACTCTTCTTTCCCGTCTTTTTCATGAAGACAGTATGTCCTTTCCATTCAGATTCTCCATGTTTTCTGAAATCTTGTCGCTTGTTCCAGGTGTCCTCGAACAATTCACCATCCACCCAGGTTGCTCGTTCAGCTTCTAGATCATGTAGTTGTGGTCCACTTTGATCAGCTCCAGGATGAAATAGCAGGTGCCGAGGTTGAACATGATGACGAATCCAAAGTTCACCTCGTTCTTCCCAGAAATCTTTACTTCTTTCTTCTAACTCTTTGCAAGGTGCATTTCCCCAACTTGCGTCTGAGGCGGATCCGATCCGAAGATCGCCAGCTGGGATTGGTGAAATGATGATGCCAGCATCCACTTCTTGAATCGCCTCTTGAGCTAGAGCGTTTGCTTCCATCAGGTCCCTGACATATGGTTTGGGCATGCACTGCTGCAGTATGCATACACGCCCCATCAAGTCTGGTCTGGTTTCTTTTGCTAACCATGCCAAAGAACCCAATAGAGCTCGAAGTGCGGAGATCTCCTGATCGGTACACAGGTTGTATTTTTCTTGTTTCCGTTCCTTCGTGATGTCAATCTTTTTGATCTTCTCCTTGACGTACATGTTCTGATGAACCTTGAGACGTCCATCGGTTAGACACTTGATCTCCTTGCCAACAAATCTTCCATCTCCCTTGGTGAATTTTCCCAACTTGTAGTGCTTTTGTATCCGCCTCATCTTTTTCCAGTGTTCTTCTCCTCCTCCATGTAGTAGGTCATCCGTTGCCACTCCGATGATTCCAGTCAGCTCTCTTTCTTGGTCTTCATCTCGTGCAGGATGTTCTTTTTCGTTGAACAGGAAGAAGAGGCATGGATCAGCTTGTGATTGTTCATATCCCAGGTTCAATAGTGTTCGTTGTAAGTGTTTGTACCATTGGTATGGACCATCTAGTAGTCCATAACAGTGCTTCTTGAGTTTGAGCAATTGACGTTCTTGAACTCCGGGAAGCCTTTCTGGAGGAAGTTCTGCGTATAGCAATCTGGATATTTCGTCGCCGCTGTGGAAGGTGAAATCCAGATATCCTGGTTCCCATCTTTGAGAGCAGATAGCTTGTAGTACTAACAGCACCGTTTCTGGTGCGACCTGAGGGGTAGCTGCGTCTAGCCATTCTGAATCAGGTTCACTGAATCCTTTCATAACATGTCGAGCCTTAGCCTTGAATCCTCCATGTTCATCTTCTCGAAGAAGAAGTTCTTCATTTTTGATGGCTTCGACTTCGTCTGGTTCAATCCTCTTCTGCACAAGAACACATCTGGACTGTAAGATGTTGTGTCCAGCTCGACGAACTTCTTCCGATTCTTCTGTGGTGAGAGGATCTCGTACGCTCCTGTTGAGATGTTGTTGTCAACTTCCTTCTTGATTGCCTTGAGAAAATTTTCTCGAGCAGCGCGCAGAAGATCTTTCAATTTGATTTCATTCTGACCTTTTTGTTTTCTGACTTCTGTTATCAAGGCCTGAAACATGATTTCCATCCAATCTGTGCGTTGTCTTTTGTTGCTTCCTTGTTCTTCGTCTTCGTCTTGTTCATCTTCTATCCGTCGAACTTGACCTCGAGTCTTTTCTTCATCTTCTTCACGTCTCGCCTTTTTCTCATGCCGTTCTTCTTGGCTATCTTCCACTTGTCTCTGGTTGATGGTCTGTTCATTCTCTTCTCTCACGTCCTGTTCAGGATCCTTTTGCTCCTCTTCTGTTGATTTGTCCGTGGTTGGACTCGTCTCTTTTGGTTGATCAATGTCCCAAGGCAGGGGTGTTGGATCCAGGTAGAACTCAGTCCGTCCTTTCCACTGTTGATCCTGGATTTGATTTTCACTTCTCCAATCATCGACAATCTCCTTGTTCCCGCCGTCTTCGAAGTACATTATCGTCCTTCGAGTGTGATGTAACTTGTTGTATTCAACTGGACAGTCTTCCACATCAGTTGGCTTGAAAAGTTGGTTCCGGAAGTTGACGTGGAATCTTAATAGTATGCCCTTCTGTTCGTTCCACATCCATTCATCACCTTCAGGTCTTGCTTCCACCTCCTTACTTGGCGTCTTTCCTTCGATCTTGTATCGAGGTTTCTTTATTGGATCTTCTTCAAAGGGGGTGTCTTTCTCCAGATCCTGGTCGAGCTCTTCACTTTTGTACTCCTTGGTGAGGTCGATATAGCCTGCCTTCGGTTCTTCAGACATGATGTGTCTTAGGTTGGATAGACCTTCCATCCATGACGAGAGAGACTGATGCTCGTCTTCACTGGCGTGTCGGAGTTGTTCAGGTGCTGCTTTGACTATATGTCGTCTGAAGTTGATCCAAATCGCTCCGGGTGGAGATGTAAGAACAACCTTGGCTGGTCCTCGCCAGTAGCTTGTGCTGTCCTTGCTTGCTTTGTCTCCGGGTGCTCTTCTCCAGAAATATACGGTCTGCCCAACTTCAAATTCTGGTAGTTCTCGACGTCCGGCATGAAGGGAGTTCGTCAATGCTTGTTGGCATTCGACTTCATGAAATGCTTTTGCTGCAGCCAGCCTCATAGTTGTGATCGTTGCAATTGCAGATCTCCTCTGGTAGCCCAGTTTCTTTCTTTTTGTTCTTCGTTAGTCAAGAACTGAAGACCTCCGGGCATTTTTGGCGTATAGCCCAACAATCGCTGTGCTGGCGAGAAACCTGATCGGTTCCCCAACCGGTTGACCGTCATGTTGACAATGTCGACGAGATCCCGCCATTCCGATTCCGTTTGGGTGGCATAAGTCTCCATCGCCTTGATCAGGATCTCTTTGAAAGTCTTACCAGCTCTTTCTGTGATTGATCGTTGGGTCGGCATCTGAAGTGCACTTGGTTCCACAATGGTGTCATCAAGTTCAGCTCCATCTTGAAAGGCTGAGCAGAATTCTTTTCCAAGATCTGTAAACAGGCGCTGAGGAACCCCCATAAATCGAACCCACTCTAAATAGACTCTTCTGGTATCTGGTGCAGTATGACTTCGTAGTGGAATGACCATTTGGAATCGAGTGGACCAGCAAACAATGTTCAATGCCATCCTTCGCTTTTTGCCTGGTGTAGGCAACCAAATGGTGTCAACTCCAATGGTGTGGTTTGGTGGTAGCTCTTTCGGAGGCGCTGCAGCTCGAGGTGGCCGAACTAGTTGATGTTGCTGGCACGTTGCACATACCAGATTCTTGGCATAGTCAATCGCTTTCTTGGAGGCGTTGGCGTTCTTCAAGATTCGCGCCAATCGATCATTTCCGGGATGTCCAAGGCCTTCGTGGGCTCTTCTGACCAGTTGTTCCGTAGTGAGCGGTCGTTCTCTGGGCAGATAAGTCTTCTCTTTTTGGGTTTCTGCGTTCTCTGAATTTTCATCTCCTTCTTCTGGTAGAGCTTGAATCTCATGCTCGGTAGTCTGGGTGAACCAAATCCATTGTCGGTGCCGTTGAAGTAGTCGATCATCTAGTTCACGGCAATCAGATAGTCCCAGCCATTTCATCTGTAGGCCATTTTGAGTCTCTGGTTCTTTGATTGACCTTGCATATCCTTGCAGATCGCCTTGACCAGAGCTTCTGGGTACCTTTGGGCTTGTCGTGCGCGACTTTCTCCATGACACTGCCCTAGGACTGGTCCATGTTGATGTGTCCCATCACATCTTCGATTTAATTGCTCTGCGATCTCGGATCGACTCGTGACCCGGCCCAACCTGTTCTCTTCTGCATGGGTTCCCCATTGGCATCGTGTAGTCCGTATTGGCATTGGTCACAGGTGATCAAAATACTGTCGTCACGTTGAAGGATCTTTTGAAGAGCTCTTTCGGTCCATGCCTTTGAAGTGAGGGGTTGTTCCAATAGGAAAGCGCCTCCATACTCGGATCATGAGGATGATTTCACAGGCAAAATTCAACAAGATTCTCGCTTCTCGTAGTCGACGGTGGAAGTCTTTCTTCATCACGTTCATGTTCTGCATAATGCTGAACAAAGTGCACGGTGGTGAGATCACCGTGAGACCTGGGCGGAATTCCTTGATGAAT